AAAGCGTGCATAGAATGCGTTCAGTTCGTTTGGAAGTGATGGGCTGGCGAAAACGAGTGCCACTCCTCACTGCTCTTTCAGCACTGCTCATTGCTTCTCACTGCTCTTTCAGCACTGCTCATTGCTTCTCACTGCTCTTTCAGCACTGCTCATTGCTTCTCACTGCTCTTTCAGCTTGTGTTATTAATGATGTATAAATAAAGGGGGGTTAAAAGTCAAGTCTCACTCTCTCTCTTTCTCTCATTGTCTCACGACACAAGAATACACTTCTCAGGTTCTGGTTTGTTTGTTCTGCTCACAGAACCAGTTTCACTGTATACTGAGTAGACCGAGACCTACTGAAACTGCAGTGCAAAGGTTTCTGCAAAGAAACCAATAAAACAATTTCGCTTCAGTTTCAAAGTCCACATTTGTACTCCATGTTTATTGGCCCCTTTATATCAGTTCAGGGGTGTTGGGATCTGTTGTTTCACTGTCACATTTTAATCTGAATGTGAAATTACAGCGAGAAACTCATCTTATATAGAAATTTAACTGTGCTAATCACACTGCATATACTGTATGTTTTCAGAATGTATTGAAATTTAGAATCAAATAGAAACTAATCTTTATGTATGTTTCATATGGAGATGAAGACCGAAAGTTTCAGCGTTATTTTGATCTTGTTAATGTTCGTCATTAACACCGATGGTATGTATCCCACAAAAATAAGTCCTACATTTTAAAGCCAGTTTTATGTCTAACTCGTTTAACGAGTATGATTAACATGATCTTAAGAAAAGGAATTTTTGATGTACTACTGTAATTATTACAGAAATAACTGCTTACACTCAAGTAAATGATTTGTAACTGATGATTGTGCTTATTATTTAATGCTTTTTGTCATGAAGAGATTTTATATCTCTTATCCCTGTGGTAGGTTTCCTGCTACACGACTCTGCTGGTCCTCTAACAGCCCAGCTGGGAGGAGCTGTACTGCTGCCCTGCTTTGCGGACAGACCCCTGCCTTTGGAGGAGCTGGAGGTGGACTGGAGAAGGACTGATTCAGACACCAT